CTGCGTAACGTCAGGAAAAGACAGCAATATTCGGGTCGCAAGTTATACGGCCCTAAAAGCGCATCTCGACCAGCACAATATGAGCACAACATTTCAGCCCCGCGATGCCCGAGCATATCGTATAGTTATCAAAGGCCCTCATCATTCGACGGATAAGGACGAGATTAAGAAAGCATTGGCTGAACAAGGTCACAACGTTAAAGACCTCCACAATGCCATTAGCCGCAATACGAAAATGCCAACAACTGTCTTTTTCGTTAACCTGGAGCAAACTACCAACAATAATGAGGCATTCAGTATAAAAGGTTTGTGCAGTTCGGTGGTAACAATCGAGCCTCCTTTATTCAATTTTTGACTCAATACTACCGCTGTCAAAGGTTTGGGCATTCCCAAAGATATGGCCGTCTTAAATATAGATGGGTCAAGTGTGGCGTTAAACACAGCTCAGCAGACTGCACTAAAAGTAAAGAGGAACCAGCGTACTGTGTACACTGTGGAGGCGACCATGCTGCTTCATATAAAGGCTGCGCTATTTATACAACTGCCTAGGCGCAGGCGTTCCCTAATGCTTTTCGTCACCCAAATATCACAGCCAGGCTTACTTTAGGAGAACCATCTGCTAAAATCGACCCTTACGTCAGCTACTCTGAAGCGCTCGGAGGAGGAAATAATAATTCACAAAGCAAAGCTCGCCAATCTGAGCAGTCAGCAGCAGGAGCTGTGGAAACCATAGTTACTCGATTAGAGGTGATGATGGAAAAAATGATGGATAAATTATTTAGCCAGATAACGCAAGTGCTAGCCACTATTGTTGGTAAGCAATGCGAACGGCCTGTGCAATAGCAGGCCAGAGGTCGAACACTTTGTGAAAACCACCAACACAGATATACTCCTAATTTCAGAAAATTACTTCTCCCAAAGATCGTACTTCTCCATCAAAGGCTTTGATATTATTTACACCAACCAGCCAAACGGTAGAGCCTGTGGTGGAGCTGCAGTGCTCATCAAACAAGGAATAAAATATATTGAACTGCTAGCACACCAACAAGCTTGGGTGCAGTGGGCCCAGGTCAGGATGCCCAGCCCGCTCGGCGACCTTACAATCGAAGCTGCGTATCTCCCACCCAGATATAACGTAAAGGACAATGAGCTTAGTCATATTTTGGAAAGCTTTGGCCCCAGGTTAATAATTGGTAGCAATTTCAACACTCCTGGTGGGGCTCGCGTACCAAAAACCCTAAAGGCCAAGCTCTTTACCGTTACATTCCGAAAAAAGGTCCTTGCCGCCACTCACCTGGTGAACCCACAGACTGGCCCACGGTTCTGCGCAAGGTTCCTGACATACTGGACATTGCTCTCTCCAAAGGTATAGCTTCCAATAAAATAAAATGCAGTCTCAACGAGAACTTATTCTCCTAGCTCACCGCTGCAACACTACATATCAATACCCCGGTCGAGAAAAAAGCGGCGCGCAAAAGGCTGATTAAAAACAACATGGACATAGACAGCTACAAAACACGGCTGCTTTCCAGGGTCAACTCTAACGCCGCACTTTCTTCTGCTGTCGACATTGACAGTGTAGGAGCAGGCCTTACCCAGGAAATTCACAATGCTGCAGGGATAGTATAATAGTTCAATATTAATGATTTATTTATTTATTTAAGTCCTTGGTGGTTTGTCTCTTTTTCACCACAACGTCTTCTTATTCCGCGATTGTAGATAGACTGCCTCACATTTCATCTCGGCAGCCTTTCTTCTTATCGATATTAGATATATTTCCTTATCGATATATACTTATGATACTGTTATACTTAACATAGATAGCGACACTATAATAACATAGCTAGGGCTACACATGTTGATCTTATCCTATTACAACTCGGCCATTCTGACAAAGAGAGCTCCTGATCTCTGTATTTTATATGTATACCTATCTTAATAACTCTGCTTATTTACTTTTTTCGCGTCCAATGCTTAAAGTTTTGGCTATTCCAGACACCAACATACGGGTAACGAGATAATTGAAAACCTTCTACATCTTTAAACAAGTATCTATCATTTTTTAAGATTTGTTCTATAATGTAAGGCCCTTTATATCTTGGTATTAACTTCTTCGAAATTCCTGGTGTGCTGTCAAAATTTTTTACCATGACATAGTCACCTATTTTATATTCTAATGATACTTTCTTCTTTTTATCAATGCGCTCCTCATTTCTGACTTGAGCTTCTTTTAGACATGCTTCCCCACTCTTTCTAATATTTTCTAAATTATTTGTATCAAAACTGTTCACCTGTGTTAACTCTTGTAATTTGTCCTTTAATTCATCACAAATTTTTCCTTTCTTTTGTAGTCCGAATAACATTTCGCTTGAAAATTTCTTTTTACTTTTGGTGTTGTTTATTGCATATTCAACATCTTCCACAATAACATCCCAATGTAATCCCTTTTCTTATTCCGCCATTTTTGCCATCATCGGACCCAGATCCCTATTTAATCTTTCCACCTGCCCATTTGCTTGCGGGCATCCAGTTGCTATTTTAATATGTGTTACTTCCTCGTTATTTAAAAATTCCTCAAAATCCTTTGCAGTAAAACAACTTCCTCTATCCGAGATAATGAACTTAGGTCGGCTATAAGCTCTGAAATAATCCTTTAATGCACTAATTGCTTCTTTCATACTTGTTGTCTCTGCTGTGTATATTTGGAAAAACCGTCAACCACGGCAAATATATATTTATTAGCTCTTCGTGCATTAATTGGTCCGTAATGGTCTATATGGATCGTCTCCCATGGTTTGTTTCCTTTCGGTATGCTATGTAGTAGTCCTTCGCTCTTGCCCGACTTGTAGGCGAAAGCAATGCATTTTAAACAATTTCCTATATGCTTTATTGCTTTTTTCTTCATACGTGGGAACCAATAACTTTTTCCAATAGCATCAATCATCTTATCTCTTCCTGCATGTCCCAACTCATCATGATATTTGTAAGGGACATGTTCTTCCATATCCGTTGGTACATAAAAACTAATCTCCTATAATTTGTCTTTCTATAAATGGCCCCATTTCATTTCCCATTTCAAACAGCTTATGCTCTTCTTTTTCTAACAGCTTTCTAATATCCACTAGCTTGTCATCTTTGCCTTGGCAAATAACCAAAGTATCCTCAAAACTATTTGATTCAATAACTTAAATATGCTCATAACATCTGCTTAACGCATCCATATCTTGCATTTGTTTGCCCGATCTATGCACTAACTCAAACTAATTATTTTGTAGCTCTAACGCCCATCTAGCAATTCTCGGATTTAAATCTATTTTGTCAAGCGTTAAAGTTAAAGAGTTGCAATCTGAGATTATTTTAAATCGTCTTCCCTGAAGATATATACGAAATCTACGTAATAATACGTAAATAATAGCTAGGGTTTTAACTCAAAACTATGATATTTAGACTCAACCTCTGTTGTTCTTTTAGAAAAATAAAAAACCGGAACTAACTAACCGCCCCAAATCCCAATACACTAGCATCACAATGTAGTTCTATTTCTTCTTTGTAATTATATATTGATAGTACTGGCGCCTCTAACAATTTGTCTTTTAACATATTGAAACACTTAAGCTCCTCTTCTCCAAACTTAAATTTCTTATCTTTTTTTAATAAATCATATAAGGACTTAGCGAATATAGAAAAGTCAAGAAAAAACCTCCTGAAGTAGGAGCATAACCCTAAAAAACTTTGCACTCCCTGAATTTTTTTTGGTATTGGAAAGGATTTTACCGCTTCTAATTCTTTTTCATCCGCCTAAGAATCATAAACATTTAACGCTGCTTTTAAAAAATTCATACGTGTCTAATTTCAACTCTAGTTTGTTTTGAACCAGTCTTATAAAAACTTCCCTTAAAGTCTACATGTGTTCATTTGTGTTTCTACTTGCATAATATCATCCATATAAACAATTACTTTATTATCTCTTATCATATCACAAAATATGTTATTAACAAATCTCTGAAATACATGCGGCGCAGTTTTCAACCCCATCCTAAGAAATTCATATTGCCCTAAAGGGGTAACAAATGAAGTATATTTAATAAATTGCGCATTAACAGAAACATGAAAAAACCCTTTTTTTAGGTCCAACTTTGTAAAAACTGTTTTTTTACATAGCCTGTCTAACAAATCATCGATCAATGCTAGCGGGTAGTTGTCTCTACATATAATTTTTTTCAGGCTATCAATGCAATCAATACATAGCGTCATGTCCCCGTTTAATTCTTCACTAGTACTATGGGCGATGCATACTCTGAACAACTAGACCTAATAATTCCATCTTTCAAGTAATAGTCAAGTTTTAGTCCAATAGTTTTTGTAACTTTTCTTTTTCCATATAAGGTAGCCGTCTAGGTGTACAATTAAATACTTTGTCAGTTTTAATCTTATGCTGAGCTCATGTCTTATTTTTTGCTGATTGGCCTTATCGCTTTAACATAAGTATTCTCAAATAAATTTTCAAATTCACACTTTGTGCTATAATCAATGTCTTCATTTAACATATATGTATTATATATAAGAGTCTCCACAACTTATTGCTAAAATTCCCCTATCAAAATTCTCTTCTAACACTCCAATCCTAGTGATTTCACTATTCGCTGAAGCTTCATAAACATGATTATTATTATTTTCTGCATCGTTTCCTTTATCTTCTATAATCACTTTTTCAATCCCGGTTTGATTATGACTAATTTCATTACTAAAAATTTCCTCTTTATCAGGTTCGAACCTTACCCCTCCATCACTCACTCACAGTTTCGATACTAATCACTTACTTGCTGACTATTTCATCACTAATTATTTTATTACTAACTTTCTCATCACTAACAACTTTATCACTAAGAGTTTTGGTACTAACCGTTTTATCACTAACTATTTCAACAATAACATTTTCGTTACCAACTATTTCATCATTACCAATTTCCTCATTGAAAAATATATCTTCATTTTGCTCGTTTTTGTTCAATTCATCTACCACTTCATTTGCTTCTTTATTGTAGCTTGTACTTAGCTTTGTTATTTTTTTTAACAATTTTCTGATAATCAACTTTATCCACATTCACAATTTTCAATGTTCTTAAATCAATATTCAAATCAAAAGCATCCATAAAATCTCTGCCAAGCACAGCGTCATACCTCATAGACTCATTTGCCACAATTATAACATTAAAATAAACATTTATTCCTTTTTCTTCATATAACATAAGATTTTTTCAACATTTCTTAGTTTACTTCCATTTAAACCTACATACGAACTCGCATCTGGCATACGCTTAATTCCTGATGACACAAACTTTTCCTTTGAAAATAAAATAGGGCTGCCATAGTCTATTCTGCAATTTTTGATTTCTTAAATGAGTTACTAAAATGAATTCTTGAGTATCTTACATATTTGTTTTCCATAACAGACTTCCTATTTGGACATCCTGCTATTAGGTGATCCTTTGAACTGCACGCATAGCAAGATTCTGGCTCCCGTTTAGGCTTTCAACATTCTTTAGCGCAATGGCCCTTGACATTGCAATTGTAGCAACGTTGTTGGTTGTCCGCCTGTGTTTCCTGTGCAGCTTATATCACTACAGTGTTTCGTGTCCGTTTAATTGGCCATTTTATAGATGCAAGCGCACGTAAGATTTGAGCCGGATTGGTAAAACAATGCATACTAGATTGAATGCGCAAGTTTTCGCAAGGTATGACTCGAATAATACCCTCCTCTACATCAATATTAATGTGCTGTGCGAATATGTTTTTTTTTTTTCGCTTAAGTATGTGGCGAACACCTCATCTGGTTTCCAAACCCGATCCTCAAACTTATGTCGTAGTTCCGACATTGAAAATTCTCCACCGAACGGCAAAACCAATTTGTTTAGCATCTGGTCAATCGGAGCAATGATGCGCATAGGGTCTGCATGGAACCACTTCAAAGCAACACTTTTCAATTTACTTATACAAAGCAAGTGCTGTTGCATCTCATTTAGCTTGTAGATTTTGGCCACATTAGACAATTGCATTACCTATTTACGCACCTCACTTTCTCCAGTAAGTTCTAATAAAATTTCCTTGGCCAAATTCATCGCTCCAGTTTGAATTTAAATTGTCTCCGATAGCGTTGCCAATTTCGTCGATTCTTCCAGCGTGGCCAGCTGCAGCAGCGCTACCAGCTGTATCCACGTGATCAGCTGCACCAGCGTTGCCATCTGTCGACCGTGGTCTTTCTTCAGTGTGACCATCTTCTAGCTGCAATAAATCGCGGACATCACTTTCCTGCTTCCCCCGTTGATCCCGTTGATTTGCTGGTTGTTGTTCACCGTTACTTGAAGTTCTTCCAGGAAATATCGTGACTCCGCATCGATTTCAGCAACTCGGTGTCATTTGCTATTTCGTCACGCTGCTGTTGTATTGCGAGTTTCAACGCATTTTGGACCTCAATCGCCTGCTCCCGGTTTATTTGAAGTCCAAGTTCCTCTGCAGCAACGTCACGCATATCCACTGGTTTTTGATTTAATCTAGCCATCAGATCAGTTTTAGTACCCTCTGTTGGCAAATTTAATAATGCCAACCAACTCTTTAATGTCGCTATTGATACGTATTTTTTTTTAGTTAATCCCACTTCTGATATTGTAATAGTGTAATATTACTGATTTATTTATTTATTTAAGTTCTTGGTGATTTGTCTCTTTTTCACCACAACGCCTTCTTTATTCCGCGATTGTAGATAGACTGCCTCACATTTCATCTCGGCAGCCTTTCTTCTTATCGTAATAACATTTATTTCCTTATCGATATATACCTATAATGCTGTTATACCACTAACCAAACAGCATATAGACTGGACATCCCATACAAACAGCGTTGTCACAAAAACTATCGGAGGCATCTGGTCCAAACTCGCGAGTAAGGGAGTAAGATATACATATGATGTATTTTTGAACCGCTTACTCTACAGGGAAATGCTGGGCGCACTCGCTTCCATATGATTTGTGCGATAGAACGGCAACGCTGTTAACTTTTATCTCGCTCGCACTTACTCTCAGCTCTCAATGCTCTCTCTATGTTTAGGGATTGTTTCAATGTGTGTGTGTGTGTGTATTTGTCCGACCAGCAAAACTGCGCACAAATTCAATTTTTCCCAAATGCTGAGGCATTTATACCCTTTTGAAGGCACGAGTAATATGAAATAGAGAAAGGGTTTGCCGCCACGATGCGAAATTCTTGCATTTTAGCTCGCTATCGTTGGTAAGGGTACCCAAGCGTTGCCATGTTTGCATTTAGAATATTTTGGACTCGCTATACACGCATACTTGCATATTTTGTGTATGAATAGAAGCATTTATGCGCTTGTGTGCCTGTTGCTTGCCTGCCTGCCTGTCTGTCCCCGATGCAAATTTAACAAGATTTTAGGATTTCTGATTTTGGACCTCTACACACAGACACACACATAAAAATGTCTGTGAATGGGCTGATCATGGGCGCAAAAGAAAATACATTATTGGCACGCGTCTGACGTGCTTGCCAAAAGTTGACCCATTCGACCCTACGAACTGCTGCAGGTAATAAAGGGTCAACATTCATTCATCAAAATATTAAAAAAGAAAGGCGCGCGTCAGACGCGTGCCAATAATGTATTTTCTTTTGCGCCCATGATCAGCGTGATATAACATAGTTTTGTGGTATTTTTTAGCCTTATATTATTTATAATGATCGGTTCTAGGTCGGATATTAATAAAATACTACCAAAATGAAAACGTAAATGCAGAAGGAAGTCTGGAAATATTCTTATTAATATAATTTATTTTTTATTAACATTTCATTGACAATACAGTCTCTTTACATTCAAATTATATTCATTTGATGGTCTTTGACAACACCTTCAGTTGCTCTAACTTGTCTATAAATACAGTAAGCCTGAACCAAAGACAATATAAACACTAAGATGAGTAACGCCATACAACAAAATGCTACTATGCAGCTTGATTTTTTGAAAATTGAGAACGAAAACGAAATCAATAGCATTGCGCTCTCACAGCCGAGAGAACGACAAAGCTAAAAATAGAATTTGCTCTCAGCTTCGGCTCTATGTGGGCCGTGCAAGCAATTATGTTTGTATGCGTGTGAATATACATACAAGTTAGCAACAAATAAATTCATACAGTCCCAATAAGAAGCATTGCAACACCTCATAAGAAGTGTAGCAAAATGCTGACTTGGTGTCTGTGCCATTTCCTCCACGCGCCGACTGGCAACCGCCGAAAATTACAGGAAGAATTGCCCAACGGGCCAACAACATTAGCAGCGACGCCGCTGCCAACGCCGCTGTCGCTAAGCAAGATAAGCAAGATAAAGAAGTGTAAAACGATAAATAAATATAAAGACTACGAACGTAGTATAATTTATCTCCAACTTTGCGACTCCCAAGGGACCCTCCAAAGTAGAAGGAAGAAACCAGCCACTGGCTTAAAAAAAATAAACAAAAACGATCAAAAATTCAATTAAAATATAGAGTAAAAAATTAACACTAGATTTAAATATACTTCGAAAATATCTTAAAATATACAATATAAGTAATATATCTCGTTTATGGCTAATGAAAGCAATTTAGTTAGGCCCCCAATAGTATCAGATCAACCACAGGTAGGCGGACATAACTTGAACAGACAGCAACAACGACATATCGACAGACAAAACGAACATTTACAAAATAGAGTTATGGCGAATAACGCAGAACAGATAATAGCAACCACGGTTAGCCAGATTTTGGCACAACAACTGCCGACATTGGTAAAGCAGTTAGTCAACCCCTCTAGTTTAGTGACGTAGACGACCAAACAATAACTGCCAACCACAATTTGAATGACTTAGACAGAGTTCCGGACATAGTTAAAAGCCTCAGAGAATTCTCCGGTAATCCAGCGGAATTTAGCTCATGGAAGAAGAGTGTAGATCGTAACTCTCAGCCTATGCAGCTGGGGCAGGTTCGCCAAAAGACTTTGGCATATTGCATACAGTGAGAAACAAAATCATTGGCAATGCCGACACGGGCCTCGAGTCGTATAATGTTCCCCTAAATTGGAGCGCTATCTCCAAATGTCTTACGCTGCACTACGCAGACAAAAAAGATCTAGAAACATTAGAATATCAGATGACAATGTTAGTGCAAGGAAACAACCAAACAGTAGAAGAATTCTACCAGGTCGTTTACAACCACTTGTCGCTGATATTAAATAAAGTAGGCTGCATGGAGTTAAATAGGGAATCCGAAACCCTTACGACAAAAATATACCGAGATAAAGCATTAGATACCTTCATTAGAGGTTTGAAGGGAGATTTACCACGGATTCTTGGAATAAAGGAGCCAGCAGATCTACCTTCAGCCCTTCACTATTGTTTAAAACTAGAGAATCAAAGCTATCGCACTAACATGGCTTTAAATAGAAATCAACAGACACATGCCAGAAACCCAAATAGAAATATACCACCACCTACACTGCCACCCCGAACAGCTCAGCCTTCTTTCGCTCAAACTTTTAGGCCACCACCCATTAGCTTCAGGCCCCAACTCCCGATCCATACATCTTGGCCAACCAATACAAACCATGGACCACCGACTTACAACAATAATGGACCGATTCCACAATACCCCAACCAACGAACCTACCAGACACAACCACAACAGGTATACATACCCAATAGACCTTCTACACCAAAACCCCAACCACGTCCTGAGCCAATGGACGTGGACCAAAGCATCCGCACGAGGATGATAAACTACATGAACAGACCCAATTTTGAAGTAGGGAAAAGACCTCCACCACCAACAAACGCCGCGGACAAAAAACAAAGAAATTTCAACATACAAACAGGAGAAGAACAGACGGAGACAGAAAACACTGACAACTATGTGACCATGGAGGAATACGTACAATCAATGCTAAATTACGAACAGCAGACTGAATACGAACAGCCATTAAACAAATACGCCCAACAAATTGAAGAAACAGATGACGGACAAAATACCCAACACGAACACTCAGACATTAATTTTTTAGGATAAAGAGCTCCTCTCTTCCTTACATAGAATGTAAGATGCGGAGCGGAAAATTACTCAAAATACTAATAGATACAGGATTAAACCGAAATTACGTCCAACCGAAATTCGTGTCCGAACCTATTCCAAAGGAAAAACCCTTCGAGGCCGTCACAGTCGGTCAACACGGTAATACCACGGACAGAACATATGACAAACGAACAAAAAATAGCCTTAATCAACTAGTTAAAATGCACCCACACCTATTTGCCAATCCGGACGAAAAACTGACATACACAACCAACGTCAGAGCAGAGATTCGAACAAAAACCGACTCCCCCATATATTCAAAATTTTACCAATTTCCAGTGTCTTTAAAAGACGAAGTACACAGCCAAATCAAAGAACTTTTAGAGGACGGAATCATCCGACCCTCCCGATCCCCATACAATTCACCTGTGTGGATTGTTCCGAAAAAATTAGATGCCTCCGGGCAAAAGAAATATCGTATGGTTATAGACTACAGGAAACTAAATAAACAAACTACCGCAGACAAATACCCTATACCCGAAATCAACGAGGTACAAGCACAGCTAGGCTATAACAAAGTTTTCTCTGTCTTAGATTTGAAAAGTGGCTTTCATCAAATACCCCTTAAGGAGTCAGACATAGAAAAAACTGCCTTCTCCGTTAACAACGGAAAATACGACTTTACACGACTCCCATTCGGTAGAATGCGCCCTCAATTTTCCAGAGAGCTCTTGACGACATCCTTCGTGAGCATATTGGAAAAATATGCTTCATTTAT